GGGCTCTGACAGGCCTCAGCAGCGTCACAGCTTCCTCAGGCCACGCCAGCAGCAGCCTGCAGAACCGGTGAGCACGGAGCGCCACCGACAGCTGCCTACGGTGCCGCGCAGCCTCGCTGGCGTGGGTAGCACGGGGAGCACCGTGCACCTCGGTGAAACACCTCCAACCTCACATTTAGGGTGTGCGTTTCTGTGAGCGCAAAGCAGCTGGCTGGGTTGGCTGGTTTGTTTGAAATGCACTGCTGTTCCTTCAAAGTTGTTTTCTACTTCAAACAGACTTTTTTCCCTGCAAAATCCTGAGAAAAGCTAAGTGTAACTGTTGTAGCCTAAGAGATTTAGGATCTGACCTGATAAATTTGTTATCAGAAACCCAGACCCCTCCGAAGCACCTACGCTTGGTTAACGGCGTATCGGAATGGTTTTGAGCGCGTCGGAAGTGCAATATCCCGAGTCCTGCCGAGAGCGATGCCTAACGCCAAGGCAATCCGTGGCAGGGCTCTCCATGTCCCAGAGCTTCATTCAGTGACAGCTCCAGGATCAACCACTTAAACCTCCCCCAGTTTCCAGGTTTGGTTTTTTTGGTTTTTTTTTTGACAGAAGGTACTTGGAACATAGCAGTAGGATAAATGAACACCTGTGCTCCCAGGGACAGTCACACACACACTTCGGAAGTAACACTAAGATAGAGCACTGCTGTCGGCTACCCCCGGGGGCTGGACTAGGTGACCAGTAAAGGTCCCTTCCAACCCAAACCGTTCTCTGATTCCGTAACAGAAATGCAAGATCTCAGCCAAAAGGGAGACCAGGGCCTAAAGGTACTCACGTGGGAATCCTATTGATTTTCTGAAAACGCTCCATCATGTTCCTATTCAAAAGCAAACAAAATAATAATTTAAAAAAACCCTCCAAACCACAAAACATAGGGACAGATACGATATCTCATGGATAAGCCCCCGTTGAAGCACAGGCAAGCTCAGTTTCACGAACCAAATCTTCCCCACCTATCTGAAACAGATCCCGTGTCGCATTCTCGCCGACGCAACACGTACCAGCTAATGCCGTTGACAAGCTTGACACAAATCCCTTAACTAGCGCAGGAAACATAAAAAGCGCAGTGGGGGGCAAGTTTACTTTCCAATATCATGCATTTTTAGCAGGGTACTGGCCAGTTCTTGGTTTCAAATGGATCAGTGCAAAGAGAACATCTGCCTTTAACAGCAAATAGCTCAGGAATCGGAGGCAAGATGTTTTAACCAGTACTGCCAGTTGAGAGCACACAGGGCAGTAAATCCTAGCTACTGCAGAGTTCTAAAAATATTCTCTTCGGAGTTTTAGTTAGGCTTATTTCCAATTAAAAGTTTAATTAAATTAACCTCTTTAGCAGTTTGAATTCCAGAGAGTTCTAAAAACTGGGGAATGGGAAGCTGTAGGAAATGAGCAGTGCTCAGTGAAGGGATAATCAAACCCCACCTTGCCATAAGCAGCTGTACGATGCTCTAAGCCAGTCGTTACGTTAACAACTTAAACCATCTTAAACCGTTTTTAAGACGGACAAGAATGAACGTAACAAAAATCCCCACCACGTTCCCAGCAGGATTTATCCCCTCCCTTCATCTGCACCAGCATCCCAAGGCAATCAGTTGTTGGTTTTTCATTTCCGTGATCAAGGCTTGAGTTATGGTGTCAGCAAGGCGAGAGCTCGTGACAGCCACACACCTACCAAGCGTCCTGGGTTCTCCCAGCCCTGGAAAACAACACAGCGGCATGGCCCAGCGTGCTGCCCGTCCATTCTAACGGTGCCTGCCCCCTCCCGGTTTGCTCATGGGCAGCTTTGATGTCCTCAGCACACCTGGCGAAGGCCAGCTGAATCTGTGGAAAGACGGTGCAATTAATCCCCAAACCTCTAGAATTAACATGTCCTCCTCAGTGCAGTTTCTCCCGCAGGTCTGACCCGTATATCATTTCAATTTACAAACAGGGGTCCCTCCTGGCAGAAAAGATCTCTCACTTCTGTTCGAACCATCCCCACCAGGCAGGCTTTCTGAAGGGACAGAGACCTCTGCAGCACACATCTGCCTTTAATCCTCCTCAGCTTCGGAAGTCAGTTACTGCAATGACATTTTGGGCAAAAATCCCTGAATTCTGCCATGTGCCTCCTCAGAGATGTGGCTGGCAGGGCTGGATTACTCTTCCAACCCTGGGAAGGAAGTGATCCTCTGCTGTGTTAATCTGAGATTTCTCTGTGGGCTGAAGACCACACGAAGGGCATAGCAGGCCTGGATAAGCTCACTTAGACCTAGACATTTGTAATGGCAAATGCACTGGAACTGGACCTCTAAGACCAATCAGGGACAGTAACACAGCACTGACATGGAGGCTGCATGCTGCGCATGGCAATGGGGAAAAATCTCTACTCTTCACTCCGCTTCTGTGCTGGGTTTGGCGGGATAGAGTTAAATTTCTTCATGGTAGCTAGCATGGGGCTGTGTTTTGGATTTGTGCTGGAAACAGTGCTGATAACACAGGGGTGTTGTTACTGCTGAGCAGTGCTGACACAGAATTAAGGCCTTTTCTGCTCCTCACACCACCCACCAGGCTGGGGGTGCACAAGAAGCTGGAAGGGGACACAGCTGGGACAGCTGACACCAGCTGACCAAAGGCATATTCCATAACATGACGTCTGCTCAGCATATAAAACTGGGGGAAGAAGAATAAAGAGAGGATGTTTGGAATGATGGGGTTTGTCTCCCCAAGTAACTGTTACACATGACAGACCCCTGCTTTCCTGGAGATGGCTGAACACCTGCTTGCCCATGGGGAGTGGTGAAGGAATTCCTTGTTTTCCTGTGCTTGCATGTGCAGTTTTTGCTTTCCCTATTTAACTGTCTCTACCTCAGTCCATACAGTTTTTGCACTTTTAGGGTTACAATTATCTCATCCATCCCACTGGGGAGGAGTGAGTGAGCGGCTGTGCGGTGCTTAGCTGCTTACCAGGGTTAAACCACGACAGCTTCCTTACCTCTTCAGGGTGCTGCTCCCTGCTCATCAAAGCCAAGAACTCTTCCAGCAGGTCCTGACGCCTATTAAACCCCAGCTGTTTCACATCTGTGAAAGAAAGGCAGTAGTTAGTAGGCGTGACGCCTGCTCCCAACTCCTGGCAATACGGTCAGCAGACCGACTGCCATTCTGTAAAGCAAACAGCCACTCTCTGTGACCGAGCGGGTCACATATTAGCTCCCTTTCCTTTCACTATGAGACCCTAAGGTCCTGCGCACCGAGTACATGACCCAAACAGATTTCTTCTTCCCCTCCCTGCCAGCCTCAAGATTCCTGGGCACCAGGCCGACTACTCCCATCATGAACAGCCTTCAAGGTCCCAGGCACCCAGCGGTGGTGATGACCCCCTCACAGAACAGGGAAGGTAACACAGACAGTGCTCTGTGTGCTAAAATCAAGCAGTTGCAAGTCCAAAGTGGGAACTTGGACCTGAACTGCTGCTGGACAGTGAGACCTGTGAACTCCACCGAGAGCCAGGGGCACCTCCATCGTCATCTGCCTTCTCTGAGGACTGAGTGGTGACCCCTATTCTTTTATATGGGTTTTTTTTAGGCTAGATTATGAGTTTTATATTGATACAGCAAATCAAGTTTTAAGATTTGACCCAATCTGCAGAGGGTCCAGGTGATTAGAAACCATAAGCTCAGTGGTGCTATAAAATTCTGTACTACACGACTTATTGAACTGTACTACACTGATTCTGCTCACAGAAATCCTGTGCTATTCCGATCATAAAATCTATGCTACGCTAATCATAAAATCCTGTTAAGAAAATAAACTAGTAGACTGTTAAGAATATAAGTACAAAATACTTTTGCCATCGCTGTGCCAAGGATCCCTAAAAGAACCCATCTTGCCCCCTCAGTGCTGGGTCACAGGAGGATACCTTCTGTGGGCTAAAGCCTGTACCTGCATTCTTGTCCCCTCGAGAGACAAAGAACAGGCAAGTAACTCACCTTAGTTAAACCCAGGCTGCTGGTCAGGATACTCTCTGGTAAGTGTTCAGTTTTCCAGGACACTGACATGTGACTATGACACAGCCATAGGCTCTCCAACAGCCTGTGCTATTGGTTCTGCCTTTTCCTAATACAACAGGCTCCCCACGGCACTAAGGAATAATGTCCCTCATGCCAAAGCACCTTGTCGCCGCTATTCTGAGTGCTGGGACATTTCCCAACCACCTCCCACTTCCCACCGCTCCTGACTTTCATCAAACTGCCTACGTAGCCATGTGGCTGCCACTGACCTTCCCACACAGAGGGGATCGCTTCCAAGTGGTTGGCTGCATCCAGTGCTTGAAGGAGGTCCAATATATTTTTAGGAGTTGGATAGAAGAGCTGATGAAGGAAGAGAACCATTTCAGTAGCTGTAACTGTTCGTTTCTCCGTGCTGACGCTCTGAAGCTTGCTTACCCCACCACGTGCTTACCGAAGGGGACATTTCTTTGTACCATTTCAACATGACCTCAATGTGCTCCATCATACACAACAACGAAAAGAATTTTGACCTAGAAATGAGGAAAAATGTTGTAGCTCAGTAATGGTTAGATCAGCCAAACCACAGAGAAGCACCAGCAAACGATGGTGTTCTGATCAGACCCGTACTGCCGATGAGGGACATCTCGCTGTACGACTGCAACGCTCCACGCAGTTCAAAAAGCAGTAGCATTTTTAATGAGAGAAACTTAATGCCGACGCTAGGTAATCGGCAGAATTAATCAGCAGTTAGACCACCGCGTTTTAACATCTCCAAAAAATGCAACGTCCCCGCCTGATGCCAGGTTTGAGGTATCTAAATCACCTTGAGCCAACACACGGACTAGGAAAAATGTCCCTGCACCAAGAAAGTAATTCCCATTAATTTCCTTTGATTTATTTACAGGCTAAATAAGATAAAATCATACGAATCATCGCGCCCCTGAAACTGCATTGCGTTTTGATGAATTATTTTTATGATTTCACTGGAGCATCTCTAGTTCCAACCCCTAACCTGGCTTTCCTTCAGATCAGTGTGCTCCAAGAACTTCATTACATTCAGCGACTGCAGCACTTAACGACATCAGCAGGGACGCTTCAGATGCTGTGATTACGGTGTCAAACGGTGGAGCTACAGGGGAATTTTGTGCCTAAATACACCTGCTGCACTGCAACCTCTCTACAACGCCACGCAGAGTGCTAGGTCTGACCTGCGCACTGCTTTGGTGTTGCCTCCTATGTGGACAGCAGGATTGTAGGAAATCCAACTGGTTGGTGTAGCTGTTGGATGGGTATCCGCCTAAACCGATGCTCCAAGAGACTTTGTCAGTTGGGGCAAGGCCACAAACTGCAAATTAATCCCTAAGAGGGACTGCACGTACAATAACCACCCGGTGTTCAGCAGCTTCCTTCTGTGCCATGTCTGAACCCCCATCTGCATTCAAACGGGCAACAACACGCGCGGTGTCTTGTGTAAGCTGCACTTCACTCACCAATAAGTATTTAAGCGATCCATGTCCAAGAATTTCCAGTTGTCTCCCTTCTCCATTGCCTTATTTAACCGATAGGCAAGCTTGATATCCTTAAGATCACAGCACTGCAATAAACCAGTCAGACTTTAGAGCTACTGAATATCTCACTTAACACATCCCTCTGAGACTCCCTGTCACGAAGGTACGAAGGGTAACGAGCTGACAGCGAGCATTTTCACCTGGATGCAATCCAGTGCAGTGACCGCCCAGGCATTTTGTTTAGTTGGGACAAACATGCGACTCTGCCAGTGGGCAAAAGCTTTTTTACCCACGCCTCCCAGTGCGGAGACTGTCTGACTGCTGCAGTGTCACCAGAAGCGGGAGGTAGGGCACAGAAAACCGGGATTTACGCAGCCATCTGCAGCAAGAGGGGCACGTGTCACAGGCACACAAGTTACCAGTTTAGGAGGTATCAAGCAAAGAATGGCAGAATTATGGAGGGAAGTTGCAGGATGTAATGAACGTATGTAAAAGAGGGAAAGATACCGAGAGCTAAACCTTGTATGACAGGTTGAAAAACTCACAGGCAACTCTGAAACAGCTGGAGAGCTCAAAGGAATTCTGATTGCAGGGAAGAGGTACTTACCACTTGCATGGCAGTGGCAAAAAAGTTGGCTGAAAGGGAGAAAATGGAGTCCGTTAGCTTCAAACTTCCAAGGAGACACACAACAGCTCATGAACCCAGGCTCCCAGAGGACAACAACTTCAATTAGATGTTGTCACGACACACAACTGACCCTGAAAATGTCTCCTTCCTGTCTTGTGAGGCTTTGACTCTGGTTTCTGTAACTGGCATTTCAAAGCAGCCCAGAGACTGATGCTGCCCTGAGGGAGGCAGCGCAAGCCACAGCAGGAGGAAGGACAAACTCTCCCACTCAGTCGCTCGTTTCATTTGCGTGGCGAGAATTTTGGGTATTTTTTTTTGTTTTCGGAAGGAAACGTTAAGGTCACTGGATGACATCAGAGACTGGAGCATTGGCTGGTTGTAGGTAGCAAAATGGTGAAAAGAACTGTAAGGCAATTTACGTAAAACCACCAGGTGTAATTCACCCTCCTTTCCCTTGCAAGACTTGATAAATTCACTAAGCACTTTGAAGTCGGAGAAGTAATTTTTGTTATTCGAGTGTTCAGTACACACTTTTGGCAGCAGCTCAGAGCCAGTGCATCAAATGGTGTAACACACACAGCAGGACAGAACCAAAACAAAAGAGGTGTACAACATCCTGTTTCCAGGTTTCCTTCCAAGGCCAAAAAAAAGAATGCTGGTAGGATAACCTAATAAGCCACTCCTGCATAACATCTCCTAATTGATCTTTGTCCTTTAAATGGCCAAAAACTGTATCAAGCCCTCATTGGTGCCCTGAAGCATACACTGTAATAACTCCTTCATCGTATCATACAGGACCGCCAGTGGCGTCTGACACTGTGTTAGCACAGCTAGAGAGCCCTCCCTGCCACAGGCGCCTTCAGGCTGCAGCTGTCTACTTCTGTACGTACGGAAAGGCTTAGGAACGTCACAGGGCAAAGCTGTGAACGTACAGACAGCAGAGAGCCAGTGGGATGTGGGATATTCCGAATCTACCCCTCCTACAGACCCAACCTCCGTTTTGCATGAACTCCTTCCATGCAATTTTCTGAAAAGGATTAAGAAGAACTAGACTAGGAACTCACACCGCTCTACATCAAAACCTGCTGCTCGCAGGATGTGCGTCATTTCCGGAAGCTGCTAGCAGATGTTCCTCCTGAAACTAGTCTTGTAGTCTGATTTTTAGCATGTGGGACTGAAATACTCATTCATATGGGCTACACACTCTACTTCCACACAGAAGTCAGCACACCAGTGCCTAGCACACCTTCCTGGCACTGGAATTTGACTTTATTTGTCTCCAAAAGGGAGCAGAAGGGGCTGATATAAGCAAGCACTCTTTCTAGCAGGACAGATCTACTTTAAATTCCTTAAGCACCTTTTCACCCAAGCTTAAACAACGCAGGTTGTCAGATATATTGAAGTCCATACCGTCGTCAGGGTCCTGGGGAGCGAAACTCCTCTTTTCAACGTCATCTAGTATCTCAGACATGATGCCTGATGAGGAAAGATCAACTGCGGGACAAACAGACAAGCAACATCATATCTCAGTTGCACTATGCAGTTCATTAGTAAAAAGCCTCACAGTCTGGGAATACACTATGGAAACGGAAACAAGCACCATGATTTCAAATAAGCGTCATGACTGTCCCATCTGGACCCCCGTTTGTGGTGTTCAACACCAGCTGCAACTTTATATGCACTAAAATTTGCCTTAGTATTGCCAGATTTCACAGCACAACAGAGCAGATTCAGAAAGACACACGTACTTTCTAGCAAGGAATTGAACAGACCCACAAGTTTGTCTCTTGGCACTGGGAAAAGCAACAGAATCCTAGAATTGCTTAGGTTGGAAAAGCCCTTTAAGACCATCAGGTCCAACCATTAACCCAGCACTGCCAAGCCCACCAGCAAACCATGTCCCTGAGCACCACATCTACACGTCTCTTAAATACCTCCAGGGATGGTGACTCCAACACCTCCCTGGGCAGCCCCTTCCAATGCCTGACAGCCCTTCTGGCGAAGAAATTTTCCCTAATATCCAATCTGAACCTTCCCTGGTGCAGCTTGAGGCTGTTTCCTCTTCTCCTATCACTTTTCACTTCGGAGAAGAGACCAACCCCCACTTCTCTGCACCCTCCTTTCAGGTGGCTGTAGAGAGCGATAAGGTCTCCCCTGAGCCTCCTCTTCTCCAGGCTGAACACCCCCAGCTCCCTCAGCTGCTCCTCACAGGACTTGTGCTCCAGACCCTTCCCCAGCTCCGTTGCCCTTCTCTGGACACACTCCAGCACCTCCACGTCTCTCCTGTAGTGAGGGGCATAAACTGAACCCACGATTCGAGTTGCGGCCTCACCAGTGCCCAGTACAGGGGGACAATCCCTGCCTTGGTCCTGCTAGTCACACTGTTCCTGACATAAAATGCATTTCATAAACAGAAAAAAAACCCCAGAGAGACTCCAGAGCAGTTCCTCCACATCTGTTATAACACAAGGACTGCAGTTACGACTACTGTGTCTATCATCTTCTCATGCCCAGGTTTTTGGCTAAAGGATCTTCAACAGCTGGGCTCCTGCCTTCTAACACAGCTGAATTTCAAGACAGCTCCAGTGCACAGAGCTGTTGCAGAAAATCCATATCCCTGTGCAATTTCTTCCCTGTGAGTGGCACAGCCCATGAAATCACGTACTGCAGTCAGATCCAGTCTCCACAGAGACTGAGTAGCACTTGCTCTTTATCAATTTGTGGCCACAAATGGAAAGGAAACGAGCTTTCTTTGCATTTCTGCCAG